GGATGCAGCTACAAGTTGTGATTGGAAGAGCAGTGGAGTTGCGGGTATTCTAAGAGATGAGGAAGGTCTTCTTCCAGGATCCTTTAAGGAGGCTACTGGTTCGGGTCCACCTATTTTGATGGAGTTAAAAGGCTATTCAGAAGGGCTTACTTTTCTTTAATTCAGTGAGAGGAGATGTTAATGGTCGGTTGATATTAGAATCAGACTGTAAATTGGAAATGGATTGGGTTAGGAATAGAACTTTGTGTCCTCATTTATTTGTCTTCATTGTTAGGGATATATCAGTTAAGCTTAAAGATGTTAAGGGTGATATTAGATGGGTCGCTAGGACAGCCAATATAGAGGCTGATGGGTTGGCTAAATCTGCCATTGGCTAATTTCAGTGTTTTAAGGGTATTTTATTTTGGGTTTTTAGGAGTTTTGTAAGGGTCTTATCTTCATGTTGTAATCTTATATATTTTCATTAATGAAGTATAAGGCACTCTTTTCCTCCTTCCTCTGATGAAGGAACTCATTCCTTAATCAAGAAGGGGGTTTTTAATAAGGCCTTCAATTCCTATAAAAAAAAAAGCAATGCAAAAATTTTAACATAAACATCAGCAGGACTCTGAAGGACCTATCCACTGTAATTCAGGGCCTAGCTGCATAACCAACAAAAGGCAAAAATGTAGCTTCCATTTGTTTCTGAACTTAAACAACAATCTCGTGGAGAAGCAGTAATATCGTGCATTCCGTGCTAAAATAGCGTGCTATATAGCTCATAAATTGAGACAACATTAACCATTCCAGTTCCAGAGGCCAAGTAAATGTTATACCTCAGATGAAATAAGTTAAAACGTCATCCATCTTCAAGACCTTCTATCCAAAACAGGGCAGGCAAAATCATTCAACAGACAATATCATTTAAAAGAACTTTCAGCAGATGCAAATTTATTGAAATAACTGTAGGTTGAGTAAAATATAACCAACAATCCGAACAACTTTTTGATCAATCAGTCATGAACTGTACAATGCTTAAAAACTTGCTAAAAGAAGCTTCCAAGAGAAAAGGAAGCAACGTGCGGAATAACAACTAGAACGCTGCTAACTTCCAAGAGAAAATGCCCGCCTGAAATGTAAAGCATTCCCCTTCGGAAGTACTTGCATGATTATATCAAGCATACAATAAAGTAAATGCTCAAGAAACCACAAAATAGACACAATTGAAGTAATCAAAATGAAAAAAAAAGATGGAGAAAGTTCACCAGGAGCTCTTCTTCTTTGACCCCAAATAGAAACCGACGTACCATTTCACAAACTTCTTCAAACCTGCCTCCAAATCGGTTGTGGGCTTATAACCAAGCTCCCTCATTGCTAAGGTAATATTCGCATGCGTGAACTCCACATTGCCATTTCTTGGCAATGGCACAACTTTCTTCTTAGCTTTCACCTTTAAAATCTTCTCTAATATACTAACCAGCTTACTCACAGGTACCGGCGAAACGTTCCCCAAATTAAAAATCCTCAATTGTGTCGATCCTCTATTCTTTCCTCCACTCCCCGTACTATTCTTTGCAGTATCCAATGCTCCCAAACACCCTTTCATTATATAATCAATATAAGTAAAATCTCTAGCTACACTACCATTATCTGGCGATTCATACACAGTGATTGTTTTACATTTGATTATATCTCTAGTGAAAAAGAAACAAGCCATATCAGGCCGACCCAAGGACAATAAACCGTGAAAAATCGCAATCCAGTTATTGAAAGTCCATAAATATGATTATAAGTACTCCTATCTTTCTCCGCAAAGGGTACCTTAGAATTCAACCTGTAAACCGAACTCGAAGACGCCCAGATAATCGCCGGTTGAGGGTTGGCCGATTTCGAAACTTCCAGTAAGTTCACAAACCCAGCAATGTTGCTATGAATATAAGATCCGGGATTTTGTATAGCGTAACGGACACCTTCCTGGGCTGCTAAATGCATAACGTGAGTGAACAGAACGGCATCGAAGAGTTGTTGTACAAGACCCTTGCCGTTGATTTTGCCTTCGACGATAAAAACCCCAGCCTTTTCGAGTATTTTCTGTCGTGCCTTTTTCAGGGTCGGATCATAGTAATGGTTGAAGTTGTCGAGGCCAAGGACACCATCTCCACGACGTTTGAGGGCGAGGGAAATATGGGTCCCAACAAAGCCAGCGGCGCCGGTCACAAGGACGGTGTGACCGGTAGTGGAGCGAGGACGGGCCGACTTGCGTATTAGTTTGTGGGAACGATATAGTGGGGTGTGGGTCCCAGTAAAGAGGTGGCGGCGCGGCGATGTTGTGGAGGAAGGGGAGGACAGTAGGAGGAGTAAGATAAGGAGAACGAAGAGGAAAAAGGTGGAATAAATGGTTAGTTTGGAAAAGGTGGACGATGCGGCGGAGGAGTGGAAGCGGAAACCTTTGTCGGGCTTGTATTTGCTAGGTGTGACATTTGGAACACAAAAGGATAGGATTTCTGGGATTAGGGTTCAGATTTGGGGATACTTTAGTGGTGGTGGTGGCGGCAGCAGCGATGGAGGAGGCAGGGAGAGGTTTCGTACGAAGGTGGAAGAGTGGTGGTCATTTTCAAGAAAGGGAAGATTGAGGGGGTTTGTAAGGGTTTGTTTGGAGGGTTTATTAGACGCTTTTAGTGCGTTGACTTGTATTTTTATATAATCATGACCCATCCATAGGCCAATGTAAGACTTTCGTATCCCTCTGAAATTCGAAATTCTTTTTTCTAATTATTTCTTTTATCTATAATATTTGTCTTAAAATTTTATTTAGATTTATCCGATATGTAAGAATGTAAATTAATAGAATGTTTAATAAATTGTTCATAAATCGTTTGTATAACGTTCATTTATGTTTGTTTGTTAAGTTAAATAAATGAGTATGAACAAAAAAATATGTTTATTTAATAAACGAACAGAGGTGTGTTCGGTTCGTTTATATTCACGAACAAGCTCGTTTATGAGCTTGTTTATTGATTCATTCATTTATGTTCATGAACAAGCTCATTTACCTGGTTCTCATTATCTTTTTATTTTTTACATTTTAAGTATTGGTTAAATTATGGACTAAATTAAACACATGGTAAAAGTTGAGATTTAAATTGTGACTTTTAAGGAGTTTAAGCACTAGTGGCGTAATTTTATCATTTTCTTTAGCTTGCAAATAAAATGGTAAAATTAAAAATTGAACATATAAATAAATAATAAACGAACACCAAACGAATGCTAAATGAACACATTCATGAACATATAAGTGAATACGTTCGCGAACATTAAATAAATATGTTCGTGAATAATAAATAAACAAACGTGAACATAACATTGTTCCTTCAACCTTGTTTCATTTATGTCCTTACCTATTCGAAAATATTTTATTAATAATACGTATGTATATATCCTAAAAAATATTTTTGGATCGGTCACTAACTCTATTTATACAATTTTCTCATGTTACTATATTAGGATTTAAATTTTTAATTTTATTGGAAGTATGAATTTTATCTCGCCAAATTAATTTGTTGTGATGATGATTTATTATTCATCACTCTTAAACTTAATAATTTCGATTTAAATTATATATTCATATTTTTATTATTTTTAAATAAAATTTATCCAATTTTAATTAAGTATAAATTTAAGATCACATAGAGATTTAATATAAGGTGATCTTTCAACTCGGTTTTATTCATTTAAATATTTATAATGTCAAAATTTGAATTTCTACTCTTTACTTAAGGAGTTAATATCAAAATTAATTTTGTTTGATAAAAATTAAAAGTGGATACTTAATTTAAAAAAAATAAAGATAAATTTTATCCTTGATATTTATATTTTATTAATTTAATTTTTACGTTAATTTAATGATCTTTAGGTAAATTGATTTTTCTTTTAAAAAAATATTAACAAAACTTTAAATTTTCTATGGCGTTGACATGGTTTGATACTAATTTTTCTTGGGGAGAGGTCCTAGGTTTGAGTCCTAATTTTAATTAAAATTTCTTGTTTTGTGATGTTAATGCAGTATAAATTAAATATATGTTATGGTGAATTAATAATAATTAACTTGTTTGACCCAATGTCCAAGCTCTTGCTGCTTTGTTGGGGGAGTGGGTTTGAGTCACATACTTCGTAAAATAAAAAAAAATGTTATTTGAATGTTGATGTGAAAATTTTAAAAATATTAAAAGATGTTATGTCAGTTTGTTAATAAAATTTTTAATAGAGGGATATTAAAATAATATAAAATTAAACGATATATATATTTAAAAAAAAAATTAAGTACTAAAATCAAATAAAAAAACAGTTTAAATAATGAACGTGTAGTTTAACTAAAACTATGAAATTTCACTTTATATTTATTAAGAATGGTCACCAATCATTTATTTTTTAAATTAAATAAATAATTAGATAAATTATTCATTTAGTCAATTAACTATTTATATGATTCTATTTTGGTCACTCAATTATTATTATTATTTAAAATTATACATAATGTTATGTTTTGGTATCATTTTAATCATATGTCATTAAAAAATTAACAATGATGATAATGTATCATCATAAAATAATGCTACATCATCATCATTGAAGAAAAAGAAAAAAAATGTCACGTCGACAGTTATGTTAATTTTTTTAATGATAGATGAGCATTGGCGGATCTAAAAATATTATTGAGGGTGGACACATATACGTTAGCAACACAAATTTTTTGAATGGGGTGAGCACAAATAAAATTTCAGAGTGGTCACCATCGATAAAATAGATAATTAACCAAAGAAAATCTTGGTTTTAGGATGGGCACAAATAAATTTCAAGGTGTGCACCATCAGTAAAATAGGTAATTAACCAAAGAAAATTCAAATCGAAACTTCACAAATAAATATGGGCCCCAATAGATTCACCGCTGCAGATGACTAAAATGAAATTAAAACGTAACATTATTTAGAATTTTAAAAATAAATAGTTGAATGACCAAAACGAAACTGCACAAATAGTTAGATGACTACATAAGTAGTTTATCCTATAATTTCTTCCGGATTTGGTAGAGTCATTGGGTGGTGTTGGGACCCATGTTTTTCATTGTGAGGGGGAAGTTCTTGTGGCCATGGGATGGAACTCATAGGTGGAAAACAACAGTCACAATTGTGTTGACATGGCTGAGGCAATTCCCAGTTACTTGCCAATATATCTTGCCTTTTCTCAGGACCAGAAGGTGCTGCAGCTTCCACCAGCGGACCCCAGCACTCTATTTTGTTGAATTGTGGAATGTTCGAGTGAAAATAAACCCACACCAATGCCTCCTGTAGTTCGTGGTACTTTTTCAGCAAATTCCCATCTCCATGGACGAACGCCTTCAGTACCTTTATTTAAACAAAAAAGCATGGGGTTCAATAATTTACTCCTTTTTTGCACAAATGAATGATTGAATAAACGTACCACTGGTAGTTCTTTGCAGAAGATGAAGTATCTAAGTCTAGCACACCAGTCTAAGAGGAAATGGCCTTCGCTTATGTGACAATGGACATGCAATGACATCTTTCCTTTCACTTTCTTCCATTCCGCCACCACTTCATCTCTGTACAATTTGTTCGCCCATCCCTGCAACTGCAATCAAACCCCATGTTTCCTCTTCTTCAGTTTTGATTTGCATGCTTCTAATGTCTTCGTTATACACATTAATATTGGATTTTGTTATATCCACGGAGAGGACCTTCTATAGACGGTTAGAATTTCGTTAGTCGGGATTTCTAGATAAATTCAAGATCATGATCTCCTATTCAACTACTGTAAATAGATAAGATCTCTAATAAATTCATAAAATATATCAAAGTTAAATCCAAAATTTGATTACTATATTTCTATTTTATTGAGCTACGAGTAATGATCTTATGCCTCTCAACCACAACTGAGAGAGTCTCTCTCTTGAACTCTTCTATTTTCAACCTAGAACAATCTCCTTTCCTACCTTTCTCCGACTTCTCACTGAAAATAAACAGCTGACACGTCTTTTAACTGGTTGTAACTCTCCATTTAAATCATAAAAAGTGAACCGTCAGCCACCAAGACAATACGTTTATTATTATCAACAAAGTTCTTTTGATAAAATCATTCTCTATACAAATACCCTGTTTTTCTCCTTAAAATAATAATAATAATAATAAACCTTAATGAGTGATGAAGTAAAATTACCTGAGAGTTGTTAATGGTCTGCGAGATTGCTAAGGTAAGTTTTGATGTTATATCACTATGAGTAAGTGTGTAAGTTCTGGGAAGCTTCCCTGGGTGCTTCTTCTCATCAACTCCTAAAAACAAAACCTTGAGCTTTGATGCCTCGAATATAGCTGGTCCAAACAACCTTGCTACCTGTTTCAATTCAATCCAAATCATTATATAATCTTCCAATTCCAGAAAAAGAATAAAGAGTAGAAAGAAGAGAGTACTGGAAAAACAGAAAGGTTCTTCTGCTTAGATCTTCTTCTGGAAATGAAAAGAGATTTGTTTTGTTCAAACACGGAAGGCCTTGGCCATGTAGGGAGAGTTGGACCGAAAGTCAAAGTTGCCATACTTAATCTTTATGATGGAGAGAAGAAGAAGAAAAAGAAGACCCCAAGCAAAGAATTAAACAATCAAATACTGTAAGTCCAAAACAATCGAACAAGACGGTCAATATTATAGCTAGAGGAAATAGCGGAAATTTTGACGAACTTAAAAACTTTGGCACCTTTTGTTTCTTTTCAGCTTTTGCATTTGCTTGTATGCTGGGGCAACTTGAAATACTCATAATGTAAATTGGAATTGCGTTTGGGGAAGAATTTGGACTTTGAAGTTTGGGCATTAATGTGATATTTTCTAAATTGGAAATTTCGTGAAGTATTTTTTGGGGTGAACTTCTCAGTCACTCAATTATCATTTTAGTTTGTTTTGGTCAATCAACTATTATTGTTTTAGGGAAAACTACTTCAAATGCCACTGAATTTTGTGTGTTGACTCGTTTATAGGGGTGCATATCGAGCGAGCCAATCGCAAGTTAGGCAGAGTTGGACTTGTGCTCATTAAAAGATTTTATTGCTCAACTCGACTCGTTGCTCGTTAAGCTCGTCAAATCTTTGCTCGACTCGTGCTCGTTAAAAAATTGTTGTTCGACTTGTTCGTTAAAAAAACTTGTTGCTTGACTCGACTCGTTGCTCATTAAACTTACTATTTTACCTTATTTTTTAACTATAAGTAAATCCTACTAATATGATATATAGCTTAGTATAAACATAAATTGATAAATTTAACCATAAAAAATCATCAAAAGAGTATATGAAGCAATTTCAAAATCTAAACTCTAAAATAACAATCCACAAATACACTAAACTATAAAATTAGTAATTTTCATCTTTCTTATTATCTATTAGCTAATTGATAATTATTATTTGGATTTTTCTTTTTTTAATGGAATAATTTTTAAGGTAATTACTAAAACATTATAAAAATAAATAAATAATTGTTCGCGAGCTTACCAAGTCGAGTTGGACCTTGCTCGACTAAACTCGTTAAGGTCTTAAGTCGAGCTCGAGTTAAGGTCGAATCAATCAGAGTCGAGCATTGATCGGTTTTGACCGAATAGAATGTGAGCAACTCACGAGCTACTCAACCCGAGTATGAGGTAGGTCATCGCTTACACAAACAATATAATAGTTCATGACACATCTATTGGACAGTTAGTAAGGTAAACATATTTTCACAATAGAAGGTTCAAAGGGGGACGTCTACGTCTCCTATATAAATATTGAACATAGAATCTATCACCACATCGAGTCAATGTTTTTGAACTAATACTTTCATTCATGTGAGAGATTGTTGGAAAAATAATTGATTAATTGAATGAAATTAATGCTAATTATAATGAGTCATAATTAATGTCACTTGGAGAATATAATTATTAATAATAAGTCATGTCACTTGAAGAATAGATTTATTTTTTGATTTAAAGTTGCATATATTCAATTATACCTATTAGATTTTCGACAATTCTCTTCATCAATGGTTTTAACCTTTCAATTCATTTCATCTTCTCCATAAATAGGTTAGTTGAGACATTTCTTATACACAATTTAAAACTTTGAAATAGAAAAACACTAAAACTTCTTCTAAATTAATTCTCTTCGGTAGTAAAGAAAGTTAAGACTGTGTTCGACTGATCACTACTGTTGTGCTTACTATTGTGATCGTTTGTTGTTATATACTGAGAGACCGACGTTCAACGTTACTCAAAGTACCGAAGAGATGACGAATCTATCTTAAGGAAATTGTTCATACATGTCTCAATAGAATTTACTTCTATTTATTTGACTTAGTCATTCGATTCCATGTCTACATGTATATGAATAAATAATTTTCGTTCCTCTATTTTAATTTTGTATTTATTTTGTTTTGTTCAATTATAATAATAATAATTTACTATTATTATTTTATTTTTCGGATTAAAATTTATCTAACTAGTAGGGGTGTTACGCTTGGAGTGGCCTAGCAATCATTATCCCATATCCACTCGTTGTTGTCCTCAAAGTATGTATGCCTCATTCCCTTATCGGATGCAAGAACATCGTGGGGTATTTACAGAGGCGGAATTAGGCAGATCAATTTTTTAATTAATACCGAAAAAAGTATATTTTTAGGAAATAAAAAAATATTTTGACCTCTTTAATAAAATTATAATATCGTCCTTGAGTATGTAGGTCTAGTTCAGCCTTTCCCTCGTTCGACTTTAATATTGAGAGCCCCTCCTTGCTTCATTGATTTGATTCCTGAATGGTCTACGATATTCAAGGTGTTGAGCCATTGTGGGTTAGCTTGGCCCGAAGCTCTGTAGCTACACACTGGGTCACCGTGATTAACTAAGCAATGGGTTTTGAACTGAATGCCTCAAATAGGTCAAAAACTTAACCCAATTATGGCTCTATTGTTAACCATTTCCCTTTCATTGGTTTCTAAGCTATGTTTCCTCAACTTGAAGTGCATTGTTATATAAAAATAATTAAAAAATTAAAATTCTATTAACCGAAATTAATGCAAAGTCTACACAACTGCATATCAATAATATGATTTTCTAGTCACAACTACTTGGTTAAGTGAGATGAGCACTAGATTCCTTAAATAATGTTAACGGTTTGAATCATGATGTTTGTGAATGGAACAAAATGGCCTGAGAGGATCGCCCCATGATAAACCTTTGCAAAATTCGATTTGAATTAGTCAATCAATAGATTATATATCAATGATTAATTCAAAAAAATGATTTTCTTTTCTAATCTAACTATTCTTTTTTCAAATTCAATTTAATTTTTTTTAATTTTATTTAATCTTAAACATTGGATGAAACTTTAAGTTTAAACAAATATGTTGACCTAGCCACCAATCTAATTTGAATCGCCAACTTTTTTTCAATGACCAAATTTATAAAATTTGAATTGGATTTACAGCACCTATAAAATTTTGCATTGTAGTCTTCTTTAAACCTTAATTATTTTCGTATAAAAGAAAAAATCATATAAAATTTTATTTTCAAGTAATAATCAATATATATATATAATTTATTTATTTTTGTATTTATGTTTTAGTCACTTAATTATTATTTTCTTTTTTAAAAATCATACATAACGTTACGTTTGTTTTTATCACTTATTGTTAAGTTTGATCATTAACTTAATTGAACTAGTGACATGACATTGGTATAATAATAACTTTAGTTCCCAAAACTTAATATTTAAAAATCTTATTAAATTGGTTCTCATTTTAATTTGAAATAACTTATTAATAATTTAAGGGTAAAGTATAGTAATGGTCACTGGACATTTTTGAAGCTTTCATTTAGGTCCCTCAACTTTTAAAACTTACAATACAGTCCCCTAACATTTATTCCGTTTGCAATATGGTCCCCCAACTTAAACCACTGTTAGAAAATTAGGGTAAATTATATAATCGGTCATTAAACTTTTAGACACTTGAATTTAGTTCTCCCAACTTTTAAAACTTGTAAAACAGTCCTTAATTTCATTATAAACCCCAATTTCCAAAGTAATTCAATTTCCTTCTAAACCATTGATTCTACTAAATCATAAATGATCACTGTATGAGCAAATTCAGGTGAATCATAAATGATCGCACTGTAAAGCACTGAAGGGTTAGGTACTCAAATCTGATAAAAAAATAGCATGCAAGAACATAGTGGTACTTAAATCATAATGCTCCAAATGAGTGTTCCGAATTTCATATAGTCAAAAGTTGAAGAAATGAGCAGAGTTTATGGGAAGTTGAAATACCGAATAGAGTGCTTCCATTTTGCTATTCGGGATGTTTAATCAATGCATATTGTTATTCAAAATTGATATAAATAGTTAAACAAACCTCAAATTTATATTGAAATAAATATTGTCAAATAGTAAATTCATGTTCAAAATTTCAAAACACCTTAATTTCATTCTAAACCCTAAATTCCAAAATAATTCAATTACATTCTAAACCTTAAATTGAAGTATTTTAGAATTTGGGGTTTAAAATTTAATTGAATTATTTTGGAATTAGGGTTTAGAATGAAATTGAATTACTTTGGAAATTGGGGTTTAGAATGAAATTGAGGATATTTTACAAGTTTTAAAAGTTGGGAGACCTAAATTCAAGTGCCCAAAAAGTTCAATGACCGTTACCCTAATTTTCTAACAGTGGTTTAAGTTGAGGGACCATATTGCAAACGGAAAAAATGTTAGGGGACTGTATTGCAAGTTTTAAAAGTTGGGAGACCTAAATGCAAGCTTCAGAAATGTTCAGTGACCATTACTATACTTTACCCATAATTTAATGGTTTACTTTAAAAAATGTCAAAGTTCAGGAACTTATTACGTGGATTTCTCTTTTTATTTTAATTTCATCTCTGTCGATCATCCCTACATTCTTCATAGCTCACACCTCCATTCATCCTTCTTTCATTGTATGACCTCTTCTCCACTTTTTGTTCACCCTAAATTTCATAATCACCCCCTTATGATATCACAACAACATCGTTATTCATTCAACGATTCTCTCGAACTCTCATCACAATTTTGCTCACTGCCACCATCGTAACATCTCCACCCATCCACCATCATCATTGCTCTTTTACAAACAACGTACCCTTCAGACACCACCTTCCGTCATTCACATTGATTTTCTCTATCTTTATCCCAATGTTGTTACGGTCGCTTGATGTCCACTAGCCTCAACTTCCAGTCCTACGTCAAAAAACCTAATTTTTAAGATTGACTCAATAACTCACGAAACATGCGACTGATTTTGATGATTGTAAGCCTGAATGACACTGTAAGGGGTCAACGAGGGTTGTGCAATCAATGTGTAAAGGCAAACTGAACAAACATGCAACAACGACGATCAAGATTTAGGAAATGGATTTTAGGATTTTAGGTTGGACCAAATTGAAGTATTTTGATAGAATGTCTAAGTTTTAGGAATAAAATTGTTAATATATCATACCATATCACTAGTTTTATTAAACTAATGGTTAAACGTAACAACAAGCAAAGACGAAGCACTAATGATTGTAAGGGTAGTTGAGCGTTTATTGTTAAATGGTTGAGAGTACTTATAACATATACTACTTTATAATCACCTTTAGCTTAATCAAAAAGCAAAGACGAAGTTACCTTGGAATATTGCCCCTCCTAATTTTGATGGTTTAATTAATTTTAGGTTATTGATATTTTTGAAATCATTACAATTAAGTATTTACCCTTCCCAAATTTATTGGTTTAATTATATTTTAGGATCCTTTCAGTTTTAAAAATCAAATTTTAACTTTAATTTTTATAGTTTAATTACTCTTTAAGACCTTTCAATTTTAAAATTAGTGAAATTAAATCATAACTCTTTTAAATTTTATGGTTTGTTCAATTTTAAAGACATTGCATTGTAGTTGCTCAAATAATAAGGGGTTCCGCGTTAATAACCCAATCAATTCTTAGAAAATATATTATATTACCTTCATTGATAATAGCTAAAAACATTGCCCGTATGTTATTATTTCAATTTCCTGAGTGGTCCGAGGATTTAAAGGATTGGAATCACGAAATGCATGTTAAATGCACTTATAATGGTGTTCCATTATCCGAAACTGAATTTCCAAAAAAAATGGTTAACAAACGGTATTAAAATAAAGATCTTATTTTCTTTTTGCCTAAACCTTGGCATAGAGTTAAACTACAATCCTCTCATAAATATCCAATGAAAAAAAAGAAAGGTCAAAAGAATGATTTTTTGCTTTTTAACAGTTTGGGGAATGGAAACTGAACTACCTTTCGATCATGCTCGAAAACGACGTTCGTTTTTTGAGCCTATTTTTAAGAACTAAAAAAAATAAAAAAATTGAAAACGAAATGTTTTATAGCTTTAACAATTTTAAAAGAAAAAACAAAATTGTTTCGAAAAGTCTCAAAAGAAACAAAAAAAGGGTTCGCTCAAAGTATTCTATTTCTAAAGGGAATAATAAAAGAACTTTCAAAAATAAATTCAATTCCATTTTTTGGGTTGAGAGAAATATATGAATTGAGCGAAATTAAAAAGAATTCGCTAATCAATAATAAGATGATTCGCAAATTATCCCTTCAAATTCAATCTATAGAGCGAACAAATTATTCAATAATAGAAAAAAAATAAAGGATCTAACTAGGAGAACAAACACAATCAAAAATCAAATAGAAAAAATTAAAATTATAAAAGACAAGAAAAACAAATTTTTATTTCAAAGTTAAATAATTTGTTTCATCGTACTTCAATTGTAATTATATCACTGACAGTAAGTGATTAAAATAAAAATATAACATAAAATTAAATAATTGAATGATTAAAACGGGAAGAAAAATAAAACTTTTTTTAGGTAGATGAAATACGATGTTGGTAATAAATACATGAGATGGATAGAAAATAAAATAAAATAAACTTCGGTTTTGCCGTCAAAATTAAAAGATCCTTGTAATGGTTTCACTTTCCGTTAAATCACCTTTCTTTCTTGTGATTTTTCTCTACATAGGTAATTAAGTTTATAAAAAACTCTCGAAAAGTAGAGGCGATAATACCACTTTTTTTTCTTTCTTTCTTAGTAGTAATATTTTCCCCTGATCCAATTGTTTCCAAGCAAAAGAAGAAAGAAATGGCCGCTGCCGTTCCTCCTCCTCCTGTTTCCGCCGATGTTGCTTCTTCTCCTCTTTCGCCTCTGCCTTTGGCTTCTACGGGATGTGAATCGAAGGAAGAAGCAGTGAACGAAGGACTGAATCAGGAGCAACAACAGCAAGACGGAATGAAAGAGTGTATGCACAAGACTAAGCCAATCCAGTTCTTAGGCCGTACTACGCCTATTATTCTCCAGAACGACAATGGACCTTGCCCGCTCCTGGCCATCTGTAAATCCTCTTTCTTTATATGTCTAGGGTTTTAGATTTTGATTATCTTCTTATTCTGTTTTCTCGCTACATCGTTGCTTAGAATATTCGGATTTAAATTTATATAGACTTTTTTTTTAAACTTTAATCTTTGGTTTAGTTTTTAGGTTTGTAATTTTAGTAAAAATAAGTTGGAGAATTTCGATTTGCTTATTGATTATTTTCCGGAGCGATCAATAATGGATCAATTGTAGTGTTCTGATTTTGTTTAGGACTCATTTTTTAAAATTATTTATTGTTCCTCCTGTTGGTGGTGAAAGACCTCTGACCGTGAATTTAACAAATAAAAAGGATAAGATTTTGGAAATGAAACTTTCTGTCAGTAAATTGAATTAGAAATATGATCAAATTTCTAATTGCACGATGTTATTAAATTTTTAGGCATTATTTTTTAACTATTTATTGTTCCTCCTGTTGCTGGTGAAAGACTTCTGACCGTGAATTAACGAATAAAAAGTAGAAGATTTTGGAAATGAAATAACATGATCAAATTTCTAATTTCACGATCGTGTCAAATTTTTATGCAAATTTGAATTAGAGGTGATTAAGTTTTGAAAATGAACACTTATTGGGGGATTTGACAGGTAATATTCTCCTTTTAAGGAACAATTTGAGCCTGAGTCCGGATATAGCAGAAGTTTCACAGGAGAAATTACTTTCTCTGGTGGCTGAGCGCCTGATTGATTCTAACAGTAATGTCAATGTAATTTCTTTCTTTTATTATACCTGGCTCATTTTCTTGTTGTTAGAATAGTAGGATGATGCTTATAAAACCTTTTGGCATATAGAATAAAGATGCAGGATATGTCGAAAACCAACAGCAGAATATTGCAGATGCTATTGATTTACTTCCACGCCTTGCTACAGGGATTGATGTAAATATTAAATTTAGAAGGTTAGGATTTCCTCCCCCCTCTCTTTTGTTTCCTCCTATAAATTCTCTCTTTCTGCAGTTCTTATTGAATTATGTGTACAACTTGCAGAATGGATGACTTTGAGTTCACTCGAGAGTGTGCCATATATGATCTTCTTGATATTCCCCTCTATCATGGTTGGATAGTTGATCCCCAGGTATGCTTCCACATATATTCTCAGACTAATAAGAATATTTCATTTCCTTCCCCCCCACCCAAAAAAATAAAATAAAAATTGCATGTTTAAATGTTGCCATTGCTTTTATTGTTGTGTCTACATATTGTGTCATATTAATTATCCTGCCAAGCTCTTCGTATTACCCATGGAAGCTTGTTATGTGCCTAGTCCATAAATAAGTTTGTCAGTATCTTGCCCCAATTAATATTGACAACAAACTAAAATCTTTTCTTTCTAATAGATTATATAGCTTTTGGGTGTAGGAGCTAGTATTTTTCCCTTTGTAATAACAGCCCTAAAGCTTTAATGGTTTGAGATCTAGCGGATGTAAATATGATTTTGAGGAAATCTTCAGTCTGGACAAAGGAGCATTTGCCTCCTAGAATAGATACACAGTTCTTTTCTTTCAAGTTGATTCCTTGATGGAGTCTGAGGTCTTTGTAGAATTTTGGTTGAAGAAGATGATGTAATAGGCTCTTGTGGGGGTGTAGGACCTTTGGTGGGTAAAGGAATCGTTGAATCTGCTGCAAGCTGTCAAAAAACTGAAATTTCAAAAAAAATTGAAATTCATCTGAAATCTCCCCCTGAATTTCAGACTTAGAGAGCTTAATTTGCCTAATTTCAAAACTGAAAAGGGCTTAATATATATTTAAACCAAAAATGGGGGCCAAGGCTTAATTTTAATAATTTAGAAATTATCAGGGACTTAAGTATTTAAATCTGAAACGGGGTAGGCTTAATTTACCTAGTTCCAACTTCCAAAGTTAATGTGGGGGGGGGGATGGTTGCACCCACCCCAAAGGTATGTCTGCATGTAAGTTTTATGACTGCAAATCATGATAGTATGTTCGTTTCTTATCAGATTGGATTGCTTGCTTTTTATCATTATTATTTTTGTTCCTTTTGTATTTTACATTATCATTTGTTATAACCGTTAATATTACTACTGTTCTGTTATTTCTGAGATTTCCATCCTGTTGTCTTGTTTACAGGGCTTGGACCTGTACATCTTGGTTTTAGTTTAATTGCACATCTGTAGTACAAATTTAATTGTCCAGTATTTGATGGTTTATTATTGTCATGGTACACGTGCCAGGACTATGAAACTGCCAGTGCCATCGGGTCAAAATCCTACAATACTATTATGGGGGAGCTCGTCACATTGGAAACACGAAAAATGGAGGTTTCATGTAAAAACAATTCTGAAGATTGTGTGGATTTTGCAGCCGCAACAACTGCCACCCTAGGAGTTCCCTCTCCCAGCCTAGCAAAAACCAGATCATTTGATGATTCTCCTCGTTCTGTTTCTGATCAGAAAAGCATAGGAAAAGGGGATATTGAGGAGGAAGAAGAGCTAATGAGAGCCTTGAAATTATCAGAAACTGAATTGCCAACCTCAAGTGGTGATCCTGGCAGTTTTGATATAAGATCATCTTCAAACAACCCGGTTTCTATAGATTCTGTAGAGGAACAAGAGGGAGACAAAGGTGTTGAACATCAGAACTTGCAGCAGCATGAACCATCCTTATCAGATAATTGCACTTCCTTGAGCAACAATAGTGGTGATCAGACGTGTTTTGAGACCCTTTCAAAGGAAGAGTTCCTAAATACTAATGGGGTTATTCAGGATCAATCATTTTATGTTAAATCTGGGGATATTACCCTTTCTAATGATGTGATCAAGAAGAATAATGTTAAGACAATGGTTGTTAAGGGGAGTAGCGCTGATGAATTGCTCCAGATTGAAGATGCTCTTCCTTTTTTTCCTGCAAAAAGTGCTTCTGCAGATGGAAACAATACTGAAATTTCAGAATGGGGTGGAAAGATTGAGATCCAATCCAAATCTACAACTGATGCTCTTGACATTCCAAATAATGTTAATGGTTGTGACACAACAGAAGAGTTGTCTGTATCTTTGCAGAATGCTGGTTCAGATTCATCGAGTGACAGAATACATCATGCAGATGTGCCTGAAACGTTTACTTCTAGTCTTGATGGAAGTGAACCTATATATGAAGGTGAAGAATGCATACTAGATTCAGTAACAACATATCAAGAACGGGAGCCTGTATATGAAGGTGAGGTATTTCTTGCAAAACAAGCTGACAAAACAGCTGTAGAGGACTCCAATATGAGGTCTAAAGATGAAATCACTCCACGGCAAGGTTAGTTGTCGCACCTTATCAAACCTGTAAATATATATCCTTACAGGGTGTGATTATGTTTCTTTCATCGGATTTAGCTTCATTGTTTGTTGTGTTTGCTATTTAACTTTACTGGTTGCTTGTTGCTTCCTCAAGAATTGTTACAAGGAAAACTAATGTATTCGCCTATCCAATTCAGTTTTTATTTTTTTAATTCTTAAAATTTCTTTTTTATACAAATGGACTTTTTTGTTTAACTATTTTCACGCATTTAATTCAAGATAACCTAGTACTAACTTTTTTCATGCTATACAGGGGAACTGATTAGAAATTTCTTGAAGAACAATGCTAGTCAATTGACCTTTAATGGGTATGTTGAAGAACTTTTTATCAGCTTTAAGATCTAATATTATATTCGAGTATCATTATATCTTCATGGCACGAGAAAGCTTGTTGTTCAGCAGACTGTTAACATATTTTGCAGGCTTTTTTGCTTACAAGACGGGCTTAAGGAACGTGAACTCTGTGTTTTCTTTCGAAATAATCATTTCAGCACCATGTTTAAGGTTGGGAACTGGAACCATTTTTTGTGTGAATTATTGCTGATAGCTGTCTATTTTTTTATAGGAATAGGAGGTCTCATTAAAAACCTCCCTCTTAGTGGACCTTATCCGTAAGGTAAGGCCCAACTAGCGGAAGGAGGAAAAGAGTACCTCAATTTATTAATGAAAGCCAAGTTACATAAGACTTAAAAACACTTTTACATACAACATAAGACCTCACACACTCCTCTAGCTTCTAGGCTCAGAAACAGATACCAACTGAAACAGACAAAAAAAAATCACCCGATCCCCTCTTTTGCTAGTTTGTCAGCCTCACAATTACAAGACCTTGGAATCCACCTGACAATAAAATTTCTAAAAGAAACAATAGATACAATTTCCTTAACAAAATTTGAAAGGGAAAGAGGAACCAAAGCTTGATCTTTGATCCAATCCACGACCAGCTTGCAATCACATTCAATAATGAGTCTGCCCTTGAACAACCATTCTGAAGAAACAAAGATTCAATGCCTCTTTTATCAGCTTTCAATTCTGCTAAATAGGGATGAGAAGACCAACATTTTCTGAAAAAGAGATAAGTATAACCCGATTCCAATCCCTGAGAAGACTCCCTATTCCATCAACTCTCCCAACTATACTAAAAGCCCCATCCACATTCAATTTAAAAAAATCTACTGGAGGAGGAATCCACCAGCACCCAGGTTTGAGTAGTTCCTTAGAAGCAGAGATACTATCTGCCAAGGAAGGATCACCAATTAAAGAATCCACCTTAATATAGAAAAGAGGATATTTTGCTAGAAACCATCTTGCTAGCCTTAAGCGAACTGTGAAAAACAGTGAAAACTTGTCTAGTTTACCATTATCAAAGATAATTTCATTTTTGATTCTCCAAATTGACCATAGCACTACACCCGAAATAAACTTCCAAATAACCGAAGAAGGCCTCAAATCAGACCAAGAACTAAGTAAGGAAGAAGGGTCAACTGGAAAAGCTGGACTTATACCCCAGTAACAAATTAATTTATTCCACAGCTCCCACGAAACTTGACAGAACAAAAAAAGATGCTGGATTGATTCATCACACAGGTTGCACAAAGGGCAGTTAGTATTCTCCCCAATAGTAACCCCCTTTTCATCAATTCCATCCTAACAACAACTTTTTGATGAGATAGCTGCCAAAGGAAAGTCTCCACTCTGGAGGGACTAATCCCAGCCATACACAGTTTCTCCACTGAAAAGTATCCTCATACACAGTCTCTAGAGATTTCCTGCACTCTTTGACAGAAAACAGCCCGTCCCCCAAGCCATCCCACAACAGGTAATCCTCCAAAGATTCAATCAATTTAATGTCTTTAAGGCTGTTCAATAACTCAACCAACTGCAACACTTCCCAATAACATAGATTCCTCCTCGTTTTAATATTCCATTCCCATCCATTCAAGTCAAAACTACCAAAATCAGCCACATTCCCACCTTTGTTAGTAGAAAGTGCAAAAATCCTAGGAAATTTTTTTAATGGACAATCCCCAAGCCAAGTATCCTTCCAAAAAGAGACAGATTTTCCATTCCCTATTTGTATTTTTGCATGAGATCTAAGGCACCCTCCAATGAAGTCATTCTTTGAGAAGTTATTGACAATTCCCCTCCAAATCCATGAGTCTTTATGAGATAGGGCCTTAGTGATATTCAAGGAATGACAACTCACATTATGTTTACTACAAAAGAATTTCTTCCATATCGAGTCTTTCTCATTTGCAAACTTCCATACCCACTTCCCCAACAACGCTCGATTGGTAAGATTCAAATCAACAACTCCTAAGCCTCCACCATTCAACGGCTTACAAATCTTTTTCCAACTAACCCAATGCATTCTCTTCTTCTCGCCCCCTCCACCCCAAAGAAAATTTGACATCAAGAATTTAACTGTTGAGAAACAGTAGATGGCATCTTGAAAATAGATAGGTAAAAAATGGGTAAAGATGAAAGTACCGACTTTATAAGCACCAATCTGCCAGCCACGGATAAAGATGAAGCTTTCCACCCCGCCAATTTTCTACTAAAATTCTCTATGACCAGCTCCCACAACTTCTCTGAATTCTTTTTTGCACCCAAAACGAGGCCTAAATAAACTGTCGGGAAAGAGCCAATAGAACAACCAATATCCCTCGCCCATTCTTCAAGTAAGTCATTCTCCATATTAATACCATGAAGTTTACTTTTGGCTAAATTGAGATGGAGCCCCGTCATTAGGCTAAAGATCCTCAAAACTCTTCTAACATTCTTGATCTGAGTAATAGAGGCTCGACAAAATATAATTAAATCATCCGCAAACTGTAGATGTGATAAATTAAAGGAATTTTGATCATTGCCGAACGAAAACCCTTGAAACAGACCCAAATCCACTGCTTTTGTAAGCATCTTGTGAAGCAATTCCCCAACAACATTGAACAGAATAGGAGAGAGGCTACATCCTTGCTTTAATCCTTTATCAATAAGAAATTCTTCTGCAGGGGACCCATTGACTAGGACCGATATAGAAGCTGTGGAAATATTTTGTGTGATCCAAGAACACCACCTGTCACCAAAACCCATCTCTTTCAATAATCCCTTTAAAGACAACCCCTTTAAGCCCTTGTTTCCTCCAACTATCAATTCCTTCATTGGCCACACAAGCACATTCCAACAATTGTCTCCTCGAAATAAATGCAAACTGATTAGGACTGATAATATCTTTGACACAAGAAATAAGTCTCTTTGAAAGCACTTTTGATAGAATTTTATATTTTTTTTGATAAGATTTGAAGGTCTCTTTAAAAACCTCCTTCTTGATTAATGGAGCTTGTAAAGAAGCTTCTTAATTATCGGAAGGAGGAAAAGAGTGCCTTATAATTTCATTGAAGAAAATAAGAATTACAACCTTGGAAAGAAAAATCCAAGTAGAACCCTTACAACAATTCTTGAGCCTTAAAACCGAACTATAGAAGTCAACAACATAATAATCAACCTATACCAGCCTTTGCTAGAGCATCGACATCCATATTAGCTGTCCTTGCAATCCATCTAACAACCCCCCCGACAGTTTTAAGACACTCAACAATATCTCTAACAATGAAACCATAAACAGCTGGACATGAGACAACCTTATTGATCCAGTCTACTGCAACTCTGCTATCACTCTCTATGATCAACCTATCTTTAACCCTCCCTAGGACAGAGGTAAAGAAAGAAATACCCCTTTGGATAGCTTTAAGTTCCTTCAATGTTGGAGGTCCAGAACCATCCGGTTCCTGAAAAGAACCAAGGATTGCACCAGAATGATCCCTCCATAAGACCACCCAGACCTGATTTTTCCCAATCACAACTAATTGCTGCATCCACATTCAACTTGATGAAACCCGTAGGGGGAGGTAACCAAGGGGTTATGGAAGACTTCAAGAAATTGTAGGACGAGTAAGAATCCCCTATAGAAGGATCAGAAATTAAGGAGTCCTTAGGAATAGAAACATCCTTATTCTTTGCTAAATACCAAGAGGCCAGCCTAACTCTTGTTAAGAAGAATAATTCAGTCTGATCGAGCTTCCCCCTTCAAAAACTATGTAATTCCTGAATTTCCAGATTGTCCAAATAACAGCCCCAGGAATGAAAGTGCAAATTACCGAATTAGATTTCAACTCATCCTAAGCTAGAAGAAAATTTTTTGCTTCTGCAGAAAACACAGAACTAAAATCTCCAAAAATTTAGAAATTTATTCCACAAAGACCACGCAACCGAACAGGAGAAGAATAGATGCGAAGAAGATTCTTCAACCATTTTACAAAGAGGGCATAAGCCATCCTCAATACCTTGAACTCCTCTTTTAACCAATTCGGATTTAACTGCAATTTTTTGAAGCACAATTTGCCAAACTAATGTTTCAACTCTAGGGGGAACCAATCCTCTCCAAACAATCTTGTTCCAGAAATGAGACTCTTCTGAAATTGAAGCACAACTCTTAACACAAGAACCGACTGTATAAACCCCATCCCCACTGCCTTTCCAGATCAATCCATCGCTAGAATCAATAGATAGAGAGAAAGAAGAAATGATGCTCACCAAATTGCACCATTGTTCAAGCTCCCAATCGTTTAAATTTCTTCGAACTTTAACATCCCAAATCCAACCCGAAGAAAGAAATTCCCCAAACTCACAAAGTTTACCGAATTTATTAGTTGACAGTGAAAACAGTCTAGGAAATAGAATCTGAAACGGAAAATCAGCAGCCCAGCTATCTTGCCAAAATCGAACATGCTTACCATTTCCGACATAAAACTTGCACAAACTACGGAACTTACAACCAAATGAGTCTTGTTTGAAATGGTTATTAACCACTGATCTCCACAACCAGGAGGATTGAGAAGGAATCTTGCTGTCAAACAATAATCTAGAAGAGTCAATGTTGTATTTGCTACAAATAAAATTCCTCCAAACAGAATTTCTCTCATTTGCAAACCTCCAAGACCATTTCCCTAGCAATGCTCTGTTCATAGAAATCAGATTCCGAACTCCCAAGCCTCCCTCAGTCTTTGATTTGCAGACATCATCCCATTTAACCCAGTGTATCTTCTTAATACCATTGCCCCCTCCCCATAAAAAATTAGACATAATAGAATTGAGAGTCTTGAGGATAGAAGCTGGAATCTTGAACATAGACAAAAAATACTTGGGTAGTGAGGACAGAACGGATTTGATCAAAACCAGTCTCCCTGCTAAAGAAAGAGTAGCAGCCTTCCAACCTGCTAATTTAGAGTGAAAATTCTGTACCACTGGTTCCCAGATAACAGAGGAATTCCTAGTAGCACCTAGAGGGAGGCCTAGATAATTAGATGGGAAGTTTCCCACCAAACAACCGATAGAATCTGCCCAAGTTTTAACCTCCTGTTGGGATATATTAATCCCGAAGAGTCTGCTTTTCTTAAGGTTTAGTTGCAGCCCTGACATAACCTCAAATACTCTAAGCACCCTCT